AAAGTAACCATCATTTCAGTAAGTGGTCATTATCTAACGGTGTGAAAATATACCATTGGCAGATCTCTCACTCATTCTCACTGTACTTCTTTGTTTGATTGGATCTTCAGTCTCAACCTCTCTATAGTCAAAACCTTACTCATGAATCTTGTTCCAGCATAAATGTCAAGGTCTAACACTTCCTTAATATTCTCAACAGTTTTGTCCACTTTCTTACATTGTTCCTATGTTGCAAAATTTCTACCTGGATCATCATTCTCAATTCCTGCACCTGGCCTGCTCAGATCTAATGAATTAAAAGTACACAATCAACAGAATTATATATCACATCCAATTTCAACTAAGCTATCATCACTACTTAGTTTAAAAAGACAAACTGTCAGGAGAGACCAGTCTCAAGAAGGACATGTTAGGTAAAATAGAGGGGCAGCAAAAGAGGGGAAGGTCCTTAGGGAGAAGGATTGACACCCCAGCTCCAGGGCTCTGGCTCGATCAGCAAAGCACATCTGGATTGTCAGTAAGAAGACTAAGCAGAGAGTCTGTGACAAAGAAACCCATGCCAGCCCTGAGATGCTTCCACCACCACTGGATCCACAAGACTTTCCATCCACTGGCCTCTTAGCTCCCTGCAGTCTGTGTCATTGCATGGGTTGCATGAGTCTGAAGAGGAATTTATACAGGCGTATGGGCTAATATTGGACTTTATGGACTTGATCTGGAGTAGACTGGGATGTTTTCTTAATGTATAATTGTTATTTGATATAAAGTTCTCTCTCTTCCACGCATGTGAGTGTCTCTGGATTTGTTTCTCGAGTCTACCCGGGCTAACCCATTATAGCACCTTGGGAATGGGGCACTAGAGAAACAGATCCTAACGATGGAGGGTAGATGCCTGTTTGTCCTCTGCCTCGTGGCAGTTTTTCTTCTTTGGCTAGCCAGAGGTCAGCTACGGTCTTGCACTTTACTGGGTTGTTTTCTCGAAAGAATATGGGAAGTCAAAGTTTTGATTATTTTGTTTGGTTGTTTTCTTTAGTTATTCCTGTTTGAAATGACAAAAAATGAATATTGTTTATGTATATTTTGAGCTCAAGGGTAAAAATTGCCCCTTGAATTTCTCACAGCTGTTTAGTGAAAATGGCTGACAGAAGGTCAAATGGCTGACAGAATGCCCAGCCCTGGTTTGATTCAGTAGAGGCCTATTTTGCATCAATGGAATAATTTAGATAAGGATTAAGATAAACTAAATAAGGATTGAACTTGACTGTTTTAAGAATTGAGTTTAGTATCTGATTCTACTTTGTTTATTCTGATTTCTTCTGCTTATTATTGTTGATGTCATGATTGATAGAAGTAATTATTGGGAAGTATGAAAATAGAGAGTTTGCCCACTTGCCTTGAGTCATTAAAATTTTATCTTTAAATGGGTTTAGGACTCGCCTGCAAAGAAGGCTCTGAAAAGCTAAGTCCCACCCAGTGTCTGAGTGCTTAGGACATTCAAAGGTGAAGAGACTTGTCTAGGGGCTGTTGACAGATTATAGAGAAAGAAAAGGAATTTTTTGGATTTTTAAATTTTGAACCAGTGGTTTGTGCTTGAGGCTGGAACAATCTTGAACCATGAAGAACTTCTCCTCTCTAGTACTGAACATTAAAGGGAGCCTGTGGGGAAGTTGAAATGCTTGCTAGGTAACCACCTGGATCTACTTGTTAAGTGGAAGTAGGAGAAATGCAGCCAGAAAGAAATGGGTTCAGTCTGGCCACTGACACCTGTGGACCTGGTTCATAGGGACTAGAGGAGCAGATGAGACCAGGTTGACTGGTCTGAAGTTCATGACCTAGCACAGGCGGCTAGGGTTGCTGAGAATTTGTGACAGTGCCCATGATCTAAAGGCGAGGCAATCAATGGGCACCCTGGTGAGGCTAAGTGAGACAACCCACATTGAGTTGACCAGAACTCGACCAGATGAGAAGATTTTTGAGCCTGTGAACTGGTGCATATTGCTGCTGACCTTTTGGATGGCTTGTCCTGATTTGACTTTGCTTAAGGATAAGGGATTCACAAGGTTCCAATTGGAAAGAGGATTCCCCACATCAAAGAATATGATTGTCTCTTCAGAGCACTGGGTTGATGTAAGTGGGAAATATAGAAATTGGATATCCAAAATGAGGAGGATAAAGGCATGAAGTGGTTGGCTTACAAACTTTCATCAGTGGGGGAAAATATTCATAGGATTATGGTGTAGGTGTTACTTATCTGCAATTGTTAGGCATAGCATATTGTTGTGTTGGTCACGTACATAATATTATATGAGGCTTTGGAACATATTGAATTGTAGGCATGTTAGTTTTATCCTGTTAGGTACAGATATATTTTATTATTGTTTTGTTTAAAAATTGTAAATGTCTAAAGAGTTGTGTAATAGTGTCAAGTTGACAAGGGGTGGTTTGTGGTAGTTACATAATCTGTCAGCTTATGAAGGGCTGGTCTAGCCTGTCAATCAGGTGGCAGCTTGATGACCTGATTTGGAGGCATCTTGGAGATAAATAACTGACTGGAGACCAGATACACATCGACACTTGGTTTATCTCTCTGGATTTGTTTTCTCTGATCAAACCAGACTAACACACCAATATAAGTGAAAAGAGGAGTTTATTGATAGGAGTTCAGGTATCTCTCCAAATGAAGCCTGGAAATGGCTGTAGGCATGACCGGCCACAAGCAAAACTGAACCACAAAAAATCCTTCTCTGTGGCTATACCTGCTGCCACAGCTGGATAGTTTTACTTCTGACTAGTTTCTCTCCGTCCTGAGTCAAACTGCATTCAATTGAACTTCTCTGAGTTGTCCAGCCTGCCATGCTCTCTCTGCACTTCTGTATCGATTCCTGCCAACACCAGCTTTACCCGACTTGCTCCTCTTGGCCCTTCAGTTGTCTCCTTAGGTCTCATTTATTTCAGAAAACCTTTCCTGATCTCAAACCTGGTGTTGCTTTGAAGCACTAACTTAGTCCTTTGTTCTTTTCACATCTTAATACTTGGGCACTGGATTAGATATGCTTATTTACGTATCTGTATCCTTGTAGACTATGATACACTCAAAGGCAATCATCTGTCTTTTCAAATTTGTGTATCAACACCAAACACATTGTCTGGCCTATAGGAGCCCCTTCACAAATACATTTGAATGGATGGCTATTTTCTGTTTCAGAAATTGATCAATTCTTGAACCAAAAGTTTTGCTTTAATTATCTAATTGGATTTTCAGCTACATGTGTAATTGGGACAAAATGCTGCCCAATATCTCTCAAAACTCAGCTCAATATAAAACATGAATTTCTTGAAGGCCAGGAGAAAAAATTAACCCAACTTCTCTTCCAAAGAAAAATATATATTTTTTAAAGATGAGAATATGGCCTATTTTGTCTTTAGTGCAAAATCTTACACTTAGTCCCAATTTTTCCCTTCCCATCCTCTGAAACTTTCTAGACTATCCTACTATTTTATGAACAATATCTAGAATTAAAAAAAACCCCGGTGGCACTATCTGGTAAGAGTTAGGCTGTTAACCATAAGGTCAGCAGTTCAAACCCACCAATCACCCTGCAGGAGAAGGATGAGGCTGTCTGCTTCTGTAAAGATGTACATCCTGAGAAACCCTACACGGAGCCACCCTATGTAAGCTGTAATAGAATCGGTGGGAGAGTGTTGATTTTATTGGATCTAGAAAATGAACAGCATGCTTAAGAATGACAGTGGAATCATTTGCCTCAAAATATACAGTTCAAAACAGCAATGGGATTTAAAGTATTGTTCAGTTATTTTGGAGAGAATTAGAAGCTTTCTATTTAATTCTGGTAATGTCTCCATATGCAACACACATAGTTCTTTTGTGAAGATAAGTTTAGATTCTCATAGCTCTCACAGCTCCTTTTATTTTCATCTGAAGACCCATCAAATGTTATATTATTTATGTATTATTTGTTTAATGTCTGTTCCAGGTACTCTTTAGCACCCCACATGACTTTTAGCTTCTTGAATGCAAGGATTGTGTTAGTCTGGATCAAGATTCAACAAACTCATGGGCCAAATCTAGCACACTGCCTTTGTTTCTATGGCCTGAAACTTAAGAATACTTTTTGCATCTTTTAAAAGTTGTGAGAAAAAAAACAACTCAAAGGAATAATATTTTTGATATGGAAAAATCACATAAAATTCCATTTAAGTGTTCATAATTTTCTATTGAGACATAGCCATGTTCATTCATTTCCATATTGTCTATGTCCCCAAGAGCAGAATTGGGTCATTGAAACAAAGATTAAACTCTACAATATAGCCCTTTATATAAAACTTTTCCAACCTCTAGTCTAAAACATGGCTGTGTATCTCTAGCACCTGATACATAGCAGGTGCTCAAAATGGCATTGGATTAATCTTTTAATCAACGAACATAAACGAGGACAGTTCAAGAAAAATAGCAGACAATAAGTTTCAAATATTTAATTGAAAAATATTCAAAATTAAAATTATTAAAATATATTCTGTGTTTTTAGGGCCAGAGGAGCAGAATCAGATTGACTAGCAGTTACCAATATAATATTGTAACACTAAATGTACTTGGAACTTTGATGAGCTAAAATATAGGAAGGGAAATAGAAGCCTCTGAGTACGTTGAAAATCAATGTACTTCACCACCCCCACCACCCCACACACATGTACACACAATTATGCACATTTACTCATACTTCCTACTACACATGTCATCTTGAATGGCCAGTACGAGTCAGTAAGACCCTTGATCTTGACTCACAAGACACATGCTCAATTAAAAGCGAAAAATAATAGTTATACTTGTTTCACCACGGTGTTTCTTCTAATATATAATTAGAGAAGAGTGGCGATAACAAGTGTACTTAATATGCTTGTTAGAATAATGGTGTTCATGGTAACTTAAAAAAAAAGCCTCAGTGCTTCTAACAGCATCTTGTGTCTGTGCTGTCTTCCAGGACAAGGGAAGAAAGCTGACTTGCAGCTTGTCAGAAGGACACAGAGGTGTATGAAGACTGCAAATATGTCTGAGACTTCCTCCCATGATTCCTTCTACGACTCCCTATCGGACATGCAGGAAGAAGACAAGAATGCTGACTTCTTCCCTGAGCTATCTGCATTTCTCAGCCAGGAAGAGATCAACAAGAGCCTTGACCTGGCCCGGAGAGCTATAGCCAGCTCTGAAACAGAAGATTTTGACTCAGAAAAGGAGATCACACCAATGTTCAACAGCTCTCCTGTAAGCATCCCTGAGAAGCCTTCTCTCAGGGAGGTGCAATTGAATGAGCACACCTCCACAGGAGGACCTCAGGAGACTCGGCCAACGTCGACCCAGCCTTTGGCAAAAGCACAGGCTGAGCGTATCCCGTCACCTGTTTCAAAGAGGAAACCCTCCTCCTCACCCCTGCTTGCCAGGCCCAGCTATATCCGGAGTCTCCGCAAGGCTGAAAAACGTGGTGGGAAAGCTCCAAATGCAGGTATGAAGCCCAAACCGGTGTGTCAAGGTAACGCTGACGCTCAGAGCCAGCTGTGCGACAAGGCGGCTAACTTCATTGAGGAACTGACATCTATATTTCGAGAAGCTTCCAGGCCCAGAAATCGAAGCCCAAATGGGGAGTCCTCATCACCAGACAGTGGGTACTTGTCTCCTAAAAACCAGCCATTGGCCCTGGTGAGTGCCTCAGCCAGCCGTAGCCCCACCGAAGACCAACAGGAGATGGAAACAGAGATTAAGTTACCTGAAGCCCGATGCTGCTACCAGGCTGACCAGGAAGGGGGGATGCCATGCAATAGCAGCTCTCACCCACAACCCCAGAATCCACCCCACTTCCCATCAGCACCTCGGTTCATCCAAAAGCTGAGGAGCCAAGAAGTGGAAGAAGGAAGCAGAGTTTACTTGGAGTGCAGAGTCACCGGAAACCCCGCTCCCCGAGTCAGGTAGGAATTCGGTGCTATGAAGATCTGACGATTTGCTTTGATCTTTAGCTGCATTTTAATGTGTGTCGAGCAAAGCTGGTATGTATACTTAGCCCTTCAAGAGCCTGAAGTTACAGTGCACGAAGGACCTGAGAATCACAATTATTCATGTTATTATGGTATCACTACAGTCGTTGTCACTCAATGTGGTGGTAATTCATGATGCTACTCCACCCCATGGCCCTTCCCTAGCATACCACAGAGAATCCCTAGTAATGCTTGTTAGCAATTCCAATCATATAATCATATGTGAGAGATATAATTGGAAATTGGTTAAAGGTGATTATTTCTTCGATTATATGAATGCTGCATAGAATTACATCATGATTAGTAACTGAACAAGGAGAACTTGTATTTCTCTTTAACTTTTAATTACTCATTCTCAAAAAATGATTAAAAGAAGTTCACAACACTAATTACCATGATATTATAAAACACCCGAAAATTTGACGAAATCAAATAAAAACACTGGCAATGATGAAAATAACAGCCGGTGCTTGTCGTGGGATAAACCACATGATTCGGAGCCTCAATGTACTCAGGTAACGAAGTTCACTGTAAATTAACATGGAGTGTTGGCCTTGTAGCTCTACTGATACATGTAATGCTAGACTTACTAAGAATATGGTTGTTGTTCTAACTGATGACAAGAATAGTTTTATTAAAAATGGTACATTTCTGCTGAAACACTGGACAGAAGTTTTGCAGGCGGTCATTTTGATGTCACCTCGTCTGACAGGTCTACTCCTGTCAGCAGTTACAGTCGCCCAAAGCCACAGGCGTCCCTAAGCGTGAGGGCTGGCAGTGAGTTTGGTCTTGGTTTTCGTCTGACAGTGTCGTCAGGGGAAGTCGCTTCCGGGACCCCGAGTGACCTGCCTTCGTAGCTTGGTCGTCCACAAAGGCAGAGAGGAACAGAAACAGCAAACAAGTTACCCTAGAGGATTAAAAGCACGCAGGGACATTTAAAATGTGAAACTTCTTTAAATCACTGTAAAAAAAGAACTGTGTGGATATTTGAATATGAGCTGCTAATGGTTGAAAATGAATCCAAAAGTAGGGGGAAAAAACCCATATGTCTAGCAGTTCAGAACTAAAGGGTGGGCCATGGTCAACTACAAAGTTAGCCCATACCATAAATAAGCTAAGACATAAGCCACAGTGACACATGTTCAGTATGTGTCACGTACCTAGATGTGATTATCTGTAGCAGAGGAGGACTTCTCAAGCAAAAGAAAATGGACGTGATGAACCCTGTCGGGTACCCGAGGTCTGTGCTAATGCACAAGCTCAGGCTGCCCCAGCGAGCACACCGCAGCAAATAGAAATGACACAGGGATTAAGAGTTACCTTGCCTTACACAACACTTCTTTTCATTCTTCACTGCAGAATTTTCCTGCACTCCAAGGTTAAGGGGAGGGACCCTGAAATCAGACTTCTGGTCTTCCAATCTTGACCCTATCTTTTAGCCATTGTGGCAGCTTAGACAACTTACTGTACCCCTCTGAAAGCAAACCCTTCATTGGTGAAACAAATTAAAATACTACCATATCTTTCTTTTCTGTGACGACTGAATGAAGTATTATGTGTTTCTTAATGTCATAGGACCAAGTGGAAATAGTATTTCAGAATTAGGATTATGCAACAGAAAATAAGTCATTCAATCTTTTATTTGGAAAGTTTTGCTTTAATTAATAAATAACACCTTAACTACATTGTATAAATATAAAAAATTAAATTCAAAATTATGAAGTTGGATAGACATTTTTGTTAAAAATTTCAACATGTGGTAGTTTCCTATTAGCCACGAATCATAAACGATCTTTTTAATCGTTTTATTAGGG